TGAAAAGTGTAAACCGTACTGCAGTAATTCAGAGATGAACTGTGTCAATTTTTCATGATTGGAGTCAACAAATTATTTATAGGAAATATAAAAATTTTTATTAAATTTGAAGAAAACAAAAAACAAGGTTCAAATAGGCGATAAGGTCCCTATCAGGCAGGTGAAGGCATTTTATGAGAATGGAATGCAGAGAAGAGAGTAGGTGAGTGATAGGAACCAAAACTAAGAGAGACGCTGAAGTCAAATGTGGGAGGACATGAATGGTGGCCCCCAAAATTTGAAGCGGCAGAAATAGAAGCTAATTTAAGTTTGAGAAGGAAAGTGACATGATCAAGTGCAGGTTCAACAATCTTTACTTGATCAAGGAATAACAGGTAATTTGATGGGGATGGAACCTGGAGGGATGTAGGTCAGTTAGGAGACTGTGCTGCACAAATGAGGTAAGAATCTAGGATGGGGCAGTGAAATTTGGAAGAAAGAGAAGAAAGCTAAAGAACTAGTGATCTTTCATACTCAATAATATATATCAAGCCAGGGGGAAAGAAGAATCAAAGACAACTCTTAGCACCCAGCTGGCATGGCTCAGTGGTTGAGCCCTAACTAATGAACCGAGGAGGTCACAGTTAGATTCCCAGTCAGGGCATATTCCTGAATTGTAGGTACGATCCCCAGTGTCGGGCATGCAGGGAGTGGCCAATGAATGATTCTCTCTCATCATTAGTATTTATCTCTCTGAAATCAATACAAACATATATGTGTGTGTGTGTGTGTGTGTGTGTGTGTGTGTGTGTGTGTATATATATATATATATATATATATATATATATATATATATATATTTTTTTTTTTTTTTTAAGATGACTGAGCTATCTGGGTAAAAAGAAGAATTAGAGGAATTAGGTAAAGTATTTTGAGTTGGTTTGCTTATTGGTTTTACAGAAGAGTTTAAGTGGAATGTTGCATTGAAGTTGAGGAAAGGCTTAGGTGCGGCAGTTCCGTGAGTAGTGGTTAGAAATATGGCCCTGGAACATAAGAGAGAAGTGAAGGCTGCAGGTAAATCTATTTGAAGCCATAGGGCTGGATGTCAACTCTAACAAGATAAAGATGTCTAAATATAGGTGAGATTAATATCAAGGGAAGGTTTCCTAGGCATATGAATTTTAACCACCAGTTTAAAGACAGATTCCCTAAGAGGTTGTAGTATATATCATCCTCACAAGCATGAGATCTCACATCACTGCCAAGAACCCAGTGAAGGATGAATATAATAGAATACAATGTAGATGAAATACACTGAGCGGCACAATAAGTGATTTACCTTATGGAGGCCAGGAGTCACTCTGTCCTGAGCATGGTTAACAGCCCAGGATAGGTTCAGGTGTTTGATGTCCAGATCTCAAGCATGCCACTAAATGAACTATTACCTCAGTGAAGCACCTTCAGCTAAATTTCAGCATCTCATTCATTAAGTAAATACGATGGTTATGGGATTAGAGATCATATATGCCAGAGAGAAACATTTTTGATTTGAGATACAGAAATATCATTATATATCTTTTCTCGGTGATATGAGCTAAATCCATGTATCTGATTAATTTTGAGCAAAAAGGAGAAATCTAGCATAAAATGAGTATTCATATACTTCATGTGAGTTTTCATTGAAAATGTTCATAGAACTTCATGGAAATGTTACATATTTAAAAGTCATCACTAACTTCACATAGAAATGATACGAGAGAAAAATAAATATATAGTTCTGGCTATAACCTAGAGTTCAAAGGAGAAATAATGACTAAAATGAGTAATAGAGGTAAATTGAGGACTCCTCTAGATCTTTTATTTACATAAAGAAAATATGTGTGTGTTTTTTAAACCATATAAAGAGTTAACTATTAGTAGGTTTGATGGTTATGTACAGACATATATAAACACTAGGAATTTTTAATATCTACAGAGGGAAATAAGTTCACTTATACATGACTTGGTAGCTACCGTGTTTCCCCGAAAATAAGACATCCTCCGAAAATAAGACCTACTTACAGGTTTCCTTCTGAGTGAAATATAAGGCACCCCTCCCCCCCGAAAATAAGGCCCCCCTAGGCTAAATATGAGAGATTTGGTCCACTGATTCTGAAAGAAATGGAGTCACAAGAAATTCACCAGGAAATTCAGGAATTGGATTGTTATGATGATGTTCCAGAAGATGATGACATGATTGTCATTGAATAAATGAGTAAATTCTTGATACTGTAGGATTCACAGTTTGTCCATATGTTAATAGGATTCACAGCATCCATATGTTAATTTTTATATTACCATTATAATAAAATATTTAATGAAATAAAATTGCATTGACAAGCTTTTCTCAGTCTTCAAATGTCCTCATTCATTACACCACTTATACTCTTGAATTGATGTCTGATATTAATTCCCATTATAGGCTCTTAGTCAATATATGGCACTGTTAGCTAAGATTTAAGCAACCGTTTTCTCAATATTGTTTGACATGCACTGTACTTGGTAAGTGTGTAAGGAATAAAACAGAGGCAAGACAAAGACTCTGTCTAGGAAAAATATGTGGTAAGGCTCAAAAGGTGCATAGTTGGGTGACTGTATCTGAGAGGAGGACAAAGAAAACCCTAAAATTGACATTGAATAAACAAAACAAAACAAAAGACATTTCAAAGACGGGAGTTATCAATAGATTTCAAATAAGGGACAATGGACCAATTTTCTGGTTTGAGGTTGTTTCCACCATCTTTGAAAACTGGGTAAAGAGCTGTGTAATTTACACATCTGTCAGCTCTCAAACAGGAAAGAAAAAGACATATAGAGACCACCAGGCTTTAGGATCCACTGCTGTGGCATCTATTGATTATCTAGAAATCTCAGAGTTATCCTGGACAGTTCTCTACCATCTTCAGACCTCTGGTCCAGAGACAGCCATGCAGCTAGGGTTGGTCAATAAGAGTTTAGACCAGTTTATTTTCCTTAGGGCCCTTAAAGAGCTCCTAGTCATAAGAAAAATCCATTCCTCGTGTCTAAGGTATGCAGTCTAGATTCACTATGCCTCCCAATTAACTAAATTTCTAGTTTAGAAATCTGTGGATCAAGAATATTTGATTTGCCTTATACATAGTAGAAATGAAACAAAAACCAACGATGCAGGCCTAACGAAGATAATACATTTTAATTAATAGGTATTAACCAGTAAGAAATTTTAATTATTAGGTATTAACCAGTAAGAAATTCTGTAACTGCTCTTTAACCCCCAACTTCCTTTTTGTGTGATTACTGCTTCTTAACTGAATTGTGTTTCTTTCATCAAAGATCAACTTAGAGAACTGTATACAATCAACTTAATTTAAATCTATTACATGATGGAAAGTAAATATTTTGACAAAGGTATTTCAGAATTTAAAAAACTAGAAGGTATGTAATTTCTTGAAAATTAGCAGATCATTTAATAATGCACATATCACAGTATGTACTTCCAGTGATCTTTAGCATTTGTAAATGATTGCTAGGTTAAGAGATTAAGTTGTTAACCAGTATATTAATGAATGAAGTTATATTTCTCTAAATAATCAAGATGAAACCACTTTTTAAGGTTTATACTTTGGCACAAATTAGATTTTGGTCTCCCTATGATCAATGAACATTTTATAAGTACTATGAACAAAGAAAGGTAAAAAATAAGCATATGAAACTTTTCTTTGATAAAAATAATTGAGGATGAAAATTCAAATACTATGTCACTATAGAAGCAGTAATATTATAAACAAAAATACAGACATCAAAGTAGTTGTAGGAGATATCTTAAGAATAATATGCATGCAAGGTGAATGTATTAACATATTTTTCAAGTGGTTTAACTTAGCCCTTAGATTTTCAATGCCCATTGAATATCATTATTTAAAAAGTAAATAGCTTGGCTGGCATGACTCAGGGTTGAGTGTCAACCTATGAACTAGGAGGTCATGGTTCAGGCACATGTCTGGGTTGCTGGCTCAATCCTCAGTGGGGGGCATGCAGGAGGCAGCTGATCAATGATTCTTCTCATCATTGATATTTCTATCACTCTCTCCCTACCTCTCTGAAATCAATAAATTATATTTTAAAATTAAATAAATAAAACAAAATTTTGCAAACTTACTTCCAATTAAGAGGCTAAGAAAATGACATGTTTGTTTTTTTGTTGGTAACATTTAATTATCAATAATATTATGAAAGAAATATTTTACAAATAAAAATTTGGCACTCTATTAGTAATAAGCTGAAGAAAATAGCAAATCCATACCTTGCACAAACAACTTCATATCTATCTAATATTTGTTATATATGTGATATGATCATAAATTAAAGGTATAACAAGTCTTTTCTTTATTCAAGGGTAGGTGCCTTCAAAATGTCAATGTATAAAAATGCATTCTTCTATACTGTCAGATTGAGTGATAAGAATGGGCAGATAAATACATGGCATTATATAGCTGTAGTCATTTTGAGGACTGTATTCATTGAAGCTATTAACTAAATCTCTATTTATACACTTGTGTGTATAGTAAGATTTCTAAGGATAGATTTTTATCTACTGCAATTATCAAAGACCTCAGAACTTTACACAATCATATTCATAACTTATAACACCTTTTAAGAGGTTTAAACTATTCAATATATTGCCATTAATATTGTAAAAATGAAACAAAAAACTAAGGAAGTTGATGAGTTGCTTGATATGTCAAAATTAAAACTAACAAATCAGATACAAGAATCATGTCCTTTTCATTTTATATAATCTCTCCCTGAATATAACTGTAAATACACATCTGAACATATATATGTGAATATATATATATATATATATGTGTGTGTGTGTGTGTGTGTGTGTATATATATATATATATATCTATATATATATATATATAAAACATACTGATATCAGATCTATTTAGTTACATCTGATAGAGCAGACAAACCTGTAACAACTGTAAATGACTAACCTGGTGTTATTACTACTCCATTTCCGTTGACCACAGGCCTCTCCTCCTCTTCCTCCTCGGGAGGCTCTATACTTGCTTTCTCCATGTTGCTCACTGATTTATTCCTCTTCCGTTTTCCTTCGGCACTGGCAGTGGCTCCCGGAAGTATCTGGTCTGTTACATTTAATAGTAATGGTGCTGGTTCGGCTGGAGGCTTTGGGGTACCGTAGTAATTGTCTGCAAAGGAAACCAAAACATTATGGAGTTAAATGTTTTTCCCTACTATGTACATACCTTACAAAGAATGACACATTTGGATTTTATTTTATATATATTAATGTTTTTTATACAGACGCCCTCATCTATGTAGTTTTTATCTTTTTTTTTTAATCTTCATTTGTTGCTCCTATTGTATCAAGCTTTAGTGGTTTATATGGATCTCCCTTCATTCTCACCTTTGTGCCAAACCAAAATATAGTCTTATTATTGATCTCAAATGGTACAGCACAATTTCAAAATTACTTAGAAAATTTTGATTACAGGCCTTGATGGAAACATTTTTTAAAATAATGTCTGCCCAGCCAGCGTGGCTCAATTGGCTGAGTGTCATCCTGCACACCAAAGATTGCCTGTTCAATTCCCAGTCAGGGCTCATGCCTGGTCACAGGTTCCGTCACTGGTTGGGGTATGCACAGAAGGCAGGGGATCAATGTTGCTCTCTCACACTGATGTTCCTCTTTCTCTCTTTTCCTCTCTGTAAGCATGCCCTTGGGTGAGGATTTAAAAAAAAATAAAACAAACAAATAAATAAGTCTGAATAAAGGTATAGACATATTTTATTTTTTAGCAAACCTGACAACATTGTGCTCTGGAAAGGCAGAGCACATTGCGCTCTTTTCGAGCTTTAAGGGAGCTCGGGTTGTTGTCTTTGATGTGCCCAGCATCCTTCTCGGAGCTGTATCTACAGGCCAGTTCAGTGGTTTCCATAGCTGCTGGCAGTGGGCATGCTGCTCTCATACTTCTTCAGATGTCCCACAGCTCCATGATTGGAGCTATAAAACCATTTGTTTCTCCCATTAATCTAAGAGACTTCTTGAAGAAGGAGACTGCTTCTTATTTCCCTCTGTAACAAAAGTCTGGCACGTAGTAGGCATAGAATAAATGCTTACTAAGTGAACATTTTTATATACTTAAGAAATTGCTTTATTTAAAATTGTCTAAGATTTTGCTTGATAAAAAATGTAGTGGTATTTTTTTTAAGTGTGATTCTTTTATCAACTTCAAACTCATATTGGTGTTTTAGTTAATTAATTGAATATTTTTTGCACTCATTTGCTTACTGAGTCAGTGAAATATTTATTTAGTACTATATGACCCAACATGCTGGTTATGTTTGAGAGAAAATGAAATGATGAATAATATAACCCTTGTCTTGTAGAGGATCCAGGAGCTGGTGTGGAGCACAGGCACACATGACATCAAGCAGATCAGCCTTAAAAAAGGAAACAGGACTGAGCACTGCAGTCAGAGAGGCACAGAGGAGGAGGCAGCCTATCTGCAGACACCACTGAAGGCAACCGGGAACACTGTGCTGAGACAGAAGCAACACTTACCCAGAAGTCTTGAGTTCTAGACTGGGCTTTGCTACACAACTACAATTCAAGCAAGTTACTTAACCTTAGTAAAGCTCAATCTCGTTATGAATTGAACACTTGTTATAATCACCTGTGTTTTGGGTTGCAAACAACCAGAAACTACTCTAGTTAAAGTAAAATAAAAGGGAGGTACTAAAAAGATATGAGACAGCTAGTTGAGGGAAGAGGGTGAAAACCTTTGGAGAAAATAGGCAGAAACAAAGCAGTCCAGTTGGGACATTCAAATTGCCTCTGCTGGCCCTGGGCTCTGAAACACCCCTGGCCTGCACAGCCGGGGACAGAGCCCCGGTGGGAATAAAGCCCAAGCTCTTCTCAGGAACTCCAATTGGCTCATTTTCAGGAAAACTCTCAGGAGGGTCTCTCATTGGCTGAGCCGCAGTCACATAGGAGCCCTTGAGCTGCCAAGTTAGGGCAGGACAGTGGCTGCTCTCCTTTGATTTAGGGAGATGGAGGTGGAGCCTTACCCTCCATCCATTTTACCTCAGGACTCTACGCAGGAAGAAGGGTGGGGGATGCTACGCAGGCAGAAGAGACAAATGCCCATCATACTCCTCACTGGGCTGTTGAGAAGATGAACGTATGAGGATGAATATATAAAATGTAAAATTGTAGTGGTTTTAATGGCAGTGTGAACCGCATGCTGGCACAAAGTAAGCTAATATTCAGGAGGCTGGCTGTGCCGCTCATATTGTCACTCATTTTCATAGAGAGTCACAGTTGTAGAGTAGTACAAGGGAAAAAAAATACTATTACCATGTAAAGCAATTCTTACACATGCAGAACTTTTATATGAAAGTCTGCAAAGTGAATGATATACATTTTGCGAAAGGTTACTTTCTAATTTGATTTAGAGCATTTAAAATGAATCGACCCTTAAATGTAACGAACAGATTTTGAGGTAACAAAAACTGCTAGATTCTCCCTAGAAGTCTGTTATTGTATTTCAGCAACCATAAGGGCTAGCGCCATTATCAATGGTACTGCTGTGCTTGCTACGCTTTCAGTACAATCTCATTACTTTTTATCTAATGAACACATGCTGAACTAGTACATATTCCTGCATGCTCCAATAAATATTATAATTTTAAGTAGCATTTTGAAACCTTTAATGCCTTTAACATATACACTGAGTGGCCAAGTTATTATGATCTCTGAACACATAATAATCTGAAAACTCAGTGTATATCCTATATAATAAAAGGCTAATATGCAAAGTATCCACTTGACCAGGAGTTTGACCAGCAGGCAGGCTGGCTAACCACCCATGTCCCCTCCCGCTGGCCAGGCTAGCCAGACCCCGCCCATGCATTAATTCATGCACTAGGCTGATCATAATAATCTAGCCATTCAGTATATAGTACTAATATAAATAGATCATATTTTAATATTTCCCCCCAGTTTGTCTTTTATGTTTTAAATTGCCCCAAAGTAGAAAAAGAACCCTTTACTAATGGGAAATAAATGCATAGCTTAGGCTAAACATAAATATTAAGTAATATATATATTGTTGGATATATATTGTTAAGTAATTACACCTATTGGCATATAATGTTATTATAAATTACAGAGTAATATCCTATTTCTAAAATTTGATTTATAAAAATAATGCTTTAGATTAAATTTTAGATGTAAAACAGTCTGAGTCATTAGTTAAGATGATCTTTATTAGCAACAAGAGGCCCGATGCATGAAATTCATGCAAGGGGTTCAACCCCTGCCCACTGCTGCTTCCTCAGGAAGGTCGTCCAGAAGGATGTCCAGTCTAATTGGCATATTACATTTTTATTATTATAGATAATAGTGATAATTTAAAAGAAGCACTGAAGTAACCCATATAGTTACTACACTTGAGATATATAGGTCATGGAGAATAAGGTTTTAGTCCAAACACAATGTATAGAACAAGGTAACTACAAATACCTATACCAACTTGAAGAATTTGCCAGTCAGGTAGTTAAGTCACTACAATAGTTCCCTGATGTAACTCTATACAAATTCATATTCTAAGGTGGTGTGCCCTTTACAGACACAAAAATAAATAAGTTAACACCAAAACTATTTTTTACATATAATTTGGAAACACTATCTCACTAAAAATGAAATGCCTCTATGCAAACCTAAATATCAAAATACCATAATATAAGGTGTAATGTTTAACAGCACAGATCATTATGAGATACACCTGATTTTGAATCAGGTGTTCTGCTAATCTGGCTGCCCCTTTACATCCTTAAATTAACTGAGTTAAAGTGGGATTGCAAGGCTACAGGATGACTACAGCCACCAAGGCAACTTGACTACTACTATTACCATCATCACCACCCCAGTTTACTGAGCGGGACACTGTGATGGGTACTTTAACTATGCACTTGTATCAAAGGAGGATTAGAATAACTCTTGACCACACAGTGCTGTTGTGAAGATTAACGATAATGAAGGGATCAGAATAGGTGCTCAATATACGCTGGCTAATTTTGGCATTTACTGTATTTATCACATCACAGTGTTAAATCACTCTGTCCCTGCAGTTAAATAAAAATGGAGCCTTTACCAAAATTAAACTGTTAAGCTAGTCAGGTGTCTCAGTTGGTAGGAGCATTGTCTCATGAAGCAAAAAGGTTGTGGATGGATATGGAAGCAATCAACCGATGTTTCTCTTTCCCCCTTCCTCTCTATCTGAAATTTTAAAAAAAGCCTATCCTTGGATGAGTATTAGAATTTTTTTAAAAACTATTTCCCAATATTATACAGGAAGTAAGTGGAAGACCGGTATCTGATTTAAAAACCTCATCTCGTTTCAAAATACTCTCAACAGAAATATGTGATGAAATTGCACCCTTCATAGACCTGATGCTAGAGGACTTCAAAGCCACAACCAATGAGCACAAATGTATTGCTTTTGATAGGGAAAGTTAATAACTACTACCAAATCTTAAAGCAGGGACATTTTAGGTGAAAGTTTTCCTCCCTTCTTCAAAAAATAAGTGTGTGTGTGTGTGTGTGTGTGTGTGTGTGTGTGTGTTTGTGTGTGTTTGTGTGTGTGTGTGTGCACGCGTTTGAGATGGGGGTTATAGGATTTTCTAGTCTATTTTTCACTGACATTTCTCTGAGAAAAGAATGACCTATTCATTAGCAGTTTCATGTAAGTTTAATATGAAATTTATGAACTTTGTTGTTAAATCTGATGACAAAATAGAAATGATATAGAAAATTGTTCATTTACTTCTATTAGCATTAGTATAACCTACATAGCCTTATTTTTAATCAATGTCTGTAAAATAAAGACATAATTATTTGAGGTACTTATTCTTCAGCCTTTTAAGTATTTACAAGAATAGGTTAAACATAAATATATAGTTATTGCAAAGTGTGCATGAACCCATTTCTAGCATTATAAACAAAAAAACCCCGCTTTCTAGAAATTTGAATAAAAAGTCTATAATACATCAATAAATGGTTTTATAATAATAATAAATATTAGTAAGTGCCATTTTATGCTATTTTCTTGCAAATGGAGAGAGACTAGAACAATTTATGTTGTTAAGCTAAGCCTGCCTAGACAGTCCTTGGAAAACCTAAGCC